TTTAGCGGTCGTTTACACATATCCTTAGCTATTTTAGCTCACCGTTAAACAGTCGGTGAACTTGAGCTGACTATCGTCACAGACTAGTAGTATGCGTCAATATTTACTAAGTTCTTAGTGCTTGCCAACGTAAAATTGCCACAAAGATCATAGAAATAATGTTATATGGCGTGTTTACATTTATGGATCGCTTGGCAAACGTCTCACAATCGACGCGACGTACGTTGCAAAAGCCAAGTTCACGGCATCTAAGTTTTTATCCAGATTTAAAAATAGGTCAAATGAGTGTTCTTTTGTTATATTTCATTTATATTTTTCAATTCATTCTAATTTTAAAATGACATCCTGATATGTCGTTTCCTGTGGATCGTGGGGCAATTTGATTCTTAAATAATTAGTTCACATAGATTACTATAAATTTTATAACTTTATTATATATCAATAATCTCTTACTGGTAAAACATTTTATTTCTGGTAGGAAAGAAAAAACGGTTGCGAAATTATTTAACTATTCTTTGAACGCATAATTTTGTGCAATTTATTATTTAATGACGAATACGAATAATAAGACGAAACGTAGCTTGTAAAATTGCACCAAGTTCATGTACACCCGACTTTACACCCGCGCATTTTTAACACTATTGCGTCAATCGGGCAGCCTGCGTCTGAACTTATAAATAGCCTGAATTGACCACTCATTTATTTGTAGGAAGTGAAAGAAGGAAAATAGCGGCATGTTTTGGTTTCTATTTCTGAGCCAGTAAGCGATACTGAACCGATATTTTCAGTGTGTTATTATTACTTCAGTTGAGATATACATATCTGTATTGAGATAAATGAAAGCTTAATTAACACTTGTGCCCTATTTGTTTAATACAAATGTGATTGTAGTAATATATAAAATTGTATACAAAATCTTAGCTTTGCGTTAGGTTAGGGCAACATTTTTGAAAAGAAAAAATTTAAATTGAATATACGAATTATTATCATTATAACCGCTTAGAAATGTTTTGATTCCGGATTTGTGTATAATGCTCGCTCGCCTTTATTGTATATAATCTGTTTCATAAATATAAAAAGATAAGCTTATACAGACAGATTATATCCACAACAGCTCCACCATAACACTACTGAAATTCACATTCACATTTGAAAATAGAATTAATTAAAAGTGGGAGAAAACGCGGACGGAAACTCAATATTTATAATCGAATTCGCCGTTTGACTGTTTTGTAAGAACATTTATAGAAGGTTATTTTGGTTATGGAACTTATTTATTCCGGTCGAGCGTCTTTCAGCACATTAAAGCAATTAACTGTATTTTAGTTTTGTGTGACGCATGCGATTTTAATTATAGTTCTTATAATAAATACGAAATTACTAACTTTAGAAGGGACGAATAACACTTGCTTTCAAGAGTTAATTTTTTTAAATCATATGTTAATTCTAATATTAAAATGTTTCTATATATAATATATGTAAATTATTTGCTCTATGAATTCCTCATAATCATTATTAAAACACAGATTTTTATATCTACTAAAACTATTTCTGTTTTAACTGTGAGGACTGGAAAAACTAGTTAAGTTATTTTTAATGGTTTCATTAGACGTTGATATGTATTAAATTGGCATATGAAGATCATATATTTGAATATATATAATAATATTTTTATTATCATATATTATGAAATTTATGTTTAGTGTATGGACAATCATATCCAAATCTTATGTTACATATACGGTATAACCTAATGTCACTATTCATAATATCTAAGTAAAGGCACTTTTTGTCGCGCATCATCACTAGGAACCAGCCCCCGTCGATGAATTTCCAAACCTATTCGACTTAGGGTACTTCTAAAAAGACCGTACCAATATCTAGAAGATCGGTAACGCACTCGCGAGCCATTTGGCAATGTTGATGCCCGTTCATCTATAGACAACTATATTTAAAAGGTTACAATTATTTGCTTTGCCTTATTATTTTGCCATTGTAATGCCTAATAACAATATTTGGTTATGTTTAAGTAGTTATTAATGTACGTCATACAACGTTTTTGGTTTTTACACCTCATGATGTACAAAAGAGGTATCAGTTTGTTCACGTAGTTTTTAATGAGGCAATTAGTGTTGGAGAATCTTTACACGAGTTTATACCATCGCCTCATTTAGAAGAACGTTTTATTGTACATTTGTACCAATTAATGATTGGACGCAACGAATTGAATTCATATTACGTAAAATCAGTCTGAGTATAAACGAAAAATTTTGCAAAAACAGGAAGGAATATTTAGTTTTGAGAATTTTTGGTTGAACGCGTTATCTTGAGATCGATCTCAGGAACTACGCCTTCGAATTGAACAGTTATTGTATGTGTCGTGATAAGATTTTTTTTAAATTGGCAAGTAAGCGATCAGCTTTCTATGCTTGACACACGTCGTTCTTTCTTTACGATGTTTTTCTACACGAGTTTAAGGCACTCATAGACAGAAAGGCATTGCACAGCCTGGGAACTAACGACCTGAGGGATGAGAGTCACCCACCGAACACTGCTCTTGTGTTGGATATGGCTACTGGCTATATTATGTAACGGATGAAACAATCGCACGTTGAATATAGACTATAGAGCATATGAATAAGTGAAATAAAAATTATCCAAGAAACATTATTTAAATTACGTGCGTCCAATTTATAAGATACATTGCTCAATATAAATATGTTCAAGCAAATTAAAAACAAATTAATGTTAAATGTGCCCTCTTAGCTTTACTGAACTATTAAAAGAAAAACCAAACGCGATATTGGAAAAGCGTCACTACTGACGTCAGCTTTTGTCTTATCGTCACTTGTCACCTCGTCTATGGCTCAAAGTATATCCGTGATAAAATTGAATGACTATTAGTTTAGTCACGCGCATACTGTAGCCACAATGGACATTATTTTATGACTTTGTCATATTGGTCTGAAGATTTTAATTTATTTATACTTAGAAACATTCCTTCTATTATGTGGTCTGTGGCTTCTATATTTTTATTAAACATATTTTTGTATTTGGAATACGTCATTAATTATAATCGAACATTCATTAATTCTATGTTATTAGAAAAACTAACCATTAAATGCTACAATAAGAAACTAATTCAAAATTAAAAGCTGTTGTGTATACAAGTTTAAATTACCACCTCGGAGTATAAGTTTATTTATTTATTTTCCTTATTTACAACTTTTAGAGTAACTTAATACTAATACAATAGAAAGCTATTACAAATTTATAACCTAAACCTTTTTAAAACTAATTATAAATAATGCAATTCTTGTGAATTCAGCCAGTTTGCAACTAAATATATCCGTCTCACAAGCAATGATATTTAGGGTGCGCAAGACACCTTTAAATGGTGTTTCTCTGCGTAAATTTGTACGCGTCCGAGGCACTGCCAGCAATTGCGACCGCTTACAACCGAGTGTGGTTATTTGGCACACGCAGCCCTCTGCTCTCCAACATTTCCGCATTATATTACCTCTAAGTTAATAACATAACGTGAAACACGGACGCATTGAGTTTGTGTTCCGGTGGAGAAATAAAGTTTCGGGATCTATGGCACAAAGCGCTGATCATTTGATAAAAATTATTAACGAAATAGACGCAATGTTGTGTTTGCCCCATACTCTACTATAATGGTATTACTTACATTATTTTTAGTGACATCAAATGTTTAATCTGTTAACTCAGAATGCACTCGATCAATATAATAAAAATGTAATCGAGTTATAAGCCACCCTTCAAAGGTGTGAATGCCAAAGCCTCCACCCATCCCTTTCGTGACCTTTTGGCGGGGTTAAGTTGACGTCCGAACGCGCGTCACCGTGACGTCATACTCGTATTTTACGCTCGGCTGTCCATTTTTGGTTCGAAGGTTCTTTTAATTAGAACAATATCACGTAAAACCACTGACCCAGTAGTAATTTTATTGGCTTGGTAGGGTTAGAAAATTAATTTACGGGCTAAAAGTTGAAGCTGTTTCACGCATGCTTTCTTTGTATTTAAAAAACCATTTTTAGTAAACTTATCTGAGGACCATACGCAAAAAATATAATGCTGTTTAAGCACATTTTTGGGTCCTTGTTTTTTAGGAATGTTGCGAACCTTACATGCCTTAATATCTTTCCCTATGTTACTATGTTATGCTTGGATTATAAGTAAGAAGTGGAAAGCGCAGTTTAATTTCGGCGAAGGATTCCTAAAAATATCCTTCCAATTAGGCCAACAATACACGCAAATCAAAGCTAAATTATAGCTCAGATCTTATTAATTAATTTATTATTAGACACGTTATGACGCAAATCGCTCGTAATTATTATGAAAGGTATTTTCAGAAACCTTAAAATCTTAACTCATTTATTGAATGAAACTACAATATTGTCGATAAATTGTACCGATCATTTCATAAGTATAGCCTATATAATTTTTCACGTGTTCTGAAAAAATGACAAGTGATAAAAACCAAAGATTAAACAAAGGCTCTGTAAATATGTACATATGATTTAATAATATCGAATAAAAGATAATATATGAGATTTTATCAGAAGATAGATACTCTAAAACAGATTGTTAATCGAAAATTTCGCGTGACGTTTCTTGAAGTTTTTCTATGAGTTAGGCATTGTCATAAACGTTTGTGTAAAAACATGGGAAATTTATTTTTAATTATCCAGATAATAAGATAAACCTTATTTACAATTACATTATATTTTAGTATAGATTTATTTAAATGAAATAATGTGTGCTTCTAGTGCTTTCTGCGCTTAACGAATAAGTTTCGCAATACAGCGAGGAAATGCTGCCATCATTAAAATTACATTGCCACAGGGACCAAAGTTTTTAATTTTTTTTTAAATATTCCATTCAAATTTTTTTAATTATTATTCATCACCTACATAAAGTTCAGAATATTGTAAATATTTTTAACGTATTAAAGAAATAAAATATTCCTATTTCAGAATGCGAGTCACTCATCCGTAAGATGCTAGTCCTGGAACCAATGAAGCGATACACTATTGAGCAGATAAAGAAACATAGATGGATGTCGACGGAGCCTTATGTCGTTCCAACCATATCTGGAGATCCAATGAGGAGTCCGGCACATGTGGCTCATAGCCATGAACCCAACGAGCAGGTGCTAAGGCTTATGCAAAGCTTGGGTATCGATCCTGTTAAAACTAAGGAGGTAAGGTTGTCATTTTTCAAATGAACTATACACATTATTTTGCTATTTCAATAAATATTTCATTGATAGATATTTTTAATCAATTATTCGTTTGCGTCAATTGGCGTGAACAAAAAATAAGAGGAAACTCGTCATCATTTCCTACAATTATAGTTAATGCGATAATTTCTTTGTCTGTTGTTTTGGTAAAATAAGTCAAGTTTTTAGTAGGTACGTAATGTTATGACGGCAAAAGCAAAGTCTGTTTTGTTGATAATTTTTGTTGGTCATATTGAAAGTAACACAGCAATGAAATATAGGATGTAGGCAAACTCCAGTCGCCCTGGAGTCACAGAAATGTTTCACCAACAGAGCCTTCGGTCGAACAGTTACGACCACCACGCGGCCATCTACCTGCTACTCCTGGAGCGGCTGAGAGCCAGGGCCAGCCTCAGTGAGCGAAGGCCTACACGCAGACCCTCCTCAGTCGCGGACCAGGCGCTGGCGAGGGACCTTCAGGATAGGCGGGAGCATCATAATAGGTAATCAAAATATTTTTGGAATATGATGATAAGAGACAACTTAGTTTAATTTTATGAATGTATTTAAATTATTGTTTCTTCTTTAAGTACTATATAAATAATACCATTTTATGAATATATAGCTGTAAATTAAATTTGACTAAGAGTCTCAATTGGTGTATACGATTTTGTCAGTCTTCAAGATCTCTTGTCTCATTAAAGTCATGTTGTTCTACAAGCGGTAATATTGACATTATCTTATTTTATCTTAAATCAATTCCAGATTACTACTCAGCGGCGAACAGAGGGACTTCAACAGACCAAACATGCCTGCAACTTCTGACTCTACTTCAGAAACTCAGCGTCTTTTATCCCTTGCCGGGGTCAACATGACCGAGCAAAGACTGCTTCAGAGAAATTCTGACCCCTCCGACACACACAGAAGTTTCCTAGTCAACGACCGATCGCACGAATCTGATTCCACAAGACTTCTCTCTATGAGAAATGTCGACGTGGCACAATCGAACCAGCGACTAGGAACCAAGCTCAACGATACTCCCACGCATAAACTTCTCACTTCAACATATGAGCAACAACAGAACATTCTAAAACAGTCCAGCGAAGATTGCCGACGGCTTTTGCAACAGTCGACGACAGTTGGCCCTGATCCCAAGACAGCAGACGGAAGGCTATTAACATCGTCCAGCTTCGATTCCAAATGTGCTATTGATTGCGGAAGAACGTCTGCGGCTGATAATAGTGCAATTGCAAATTTTCTCCAAAACTCCGCTTCGGCAACTAATTTCAACTTAGATTCCATGAAGATGCCTAATTCCACTACCTTCACAATGTGCTCCGAAGCTGCGAAACTTATGAACACATTGCAGCAGTCCCCCTTACCCCTCAAGGGCACTGTCAATTTAAGCACTAGCCCGATTCCGTCTCAGTTTACTGATACTAAACTGAGTAGTGTGTTAGAACAACCGAAACCCCTTGAATCGAGTAGGCTTGTCGCCGCCCAAGATATGAATAGGTTACAAACGAGCACACCGCCATTTAAAGACTACATAAATCATATTCCCTCTTACTCATACCTACAAAACACCTTGCCACAAATGCCTGCCGAAAGTAACTTGTCAGCTGCCAGTGAACTTTACCAGAATACTCTGTACAGACCTGATAGTAAATTCTCTTTAAATAGATATACGACCGGACAAACGTATACCCAGGCCCTGCCCGGAACATCAACTGATGCGACAAAATTTCAGCAGCAATATTCCTCCTCCACAGACGAAGGTTGCGAAACAGATATGGAGGACGTGAACGCTTCAAGCGGGGTCCAAAACAGATTAAGTTCCTACGCTAGTTCAAGCTCCAGCAGCGGTGTAGTAACTTTTTTTAACAATAAGAGTCTAAGTCAAAATTTGAGTTGTGATTCATCGCAGAGCAACTTCTCTGCGTTCGAAAGTATCGACTATCAACTCTCAGATTGCTCGAGTGAACTTGCTAGCAGTTTACCAAGTTGTACGTCAAACGAGGACAGACTGTCGTACGAGAACAGCTCTCTCGTAAATACGAGTCCAATGCATCCATGTGTTTATATATCGTCGTACAATAATAAAACGGCTGGCACCGGATTTATAGCGCGACATAATCCTCTTAACTACCAATCCACTAATAAAAGTTGTCCTCGAGCGATTACTCGGAGTCCGGTCGATTTTAGAGAAGGTCGACGAGCAAGTGATGGGTTAGTGGCACAACAAGCCGCACAACCCGACGATGCCCAAAAAAATAGTTTGGCATTCAACAGTCAAAAATTGAATGAGAATTGCAAAGCGAAAGGTGTTCTAGAACTGCACTTGGTACAAAAAGAGGCTCAGAAACTGAAAACTCAGTACCAATCGACGATACCAGCCGAGGAAATGACGCAGCGGCAAATTCAACATAATCAATTCGCCGCTTCGTTCACTACATACTTAGATACCAAAAATCCAACACCAAAGCGAATAAGTCTACCAGAATCCTTCAATTACTCGAGCACGTCACCACCGATGCCGGCAAGTCCGAAAATGGTCGCTCAATTGCAAGAGAATTCTGAGTTGTCACACGGCGTGTCTGTTTCTCAAGTCAGCAAGCCGCCTTTGCAACAACAGCTCATGCAACACAGGCTTTTCCAGCAAAAACGTCAGTTGCTTCAAAAGCAAATGACTCCACCAAATGTTCCCGTTCACGAAATGACCGCTCTACATAATATACAAGTCGGTTTAAGCAGGCGGCAGATGCTTCGCCAACAAAGCTATAAAATTGCCCAACAGCAACCGGTCTTACCACCCTTACCTTTGACTGAATCTGAGAGCAGAGATTTACTAGCATTTCAGGCAATAGTGGAAGACCCTAACAGAGTGAAGCACAAAGTTGAGGACGAAGAAGAAGCAAAATTTTCATACCAAGGTTCAATGGAAATAAATATAATGAAGGATAGATTGGGTAACGAGAATTGGTCCAATTTGCCATCTAGTCTTCAAACCGCCTGTCAGATTTCCGAGCTGTCGAGGCGTGAGGTGAAAGACTCTCAAGAAGGAGAAAGTTCCTTGGACGCTCCACTGTGGCCAGGACAATGGAATGCCTCACTGTTTCCACCACAGACTTGCTTTCAGGTATTCCAACAAATCAATTGAGTAGAGTAGTTAGAACAGCTCGATGTAGTACTTGAGTTATTCACACAAAAGTTGATTTAGCTATTCTGGCATTTTAAACAAGTATATAGAGCAATATAACCTAATTAAATCCTGGCGAATCTTTTAAAATACGTAGATATATCCCCTATGTAAGGCCAGATAGGCCAAATTCCATTGTCTGTTATATAGCACAGTAGTTGCACGCAGTATTGAAGTAAATAAATAGTGGATCTAGCTCTAGGCATACATGTGTTGCCAGTTACACATCAAATAAACCGTTAATTGGATAACGACGTGTCTTTTCCATAAATTAGGAAAATCCTGTATACTAACTTTTTTTGAAAAGAAATACGCATTTTTATTCGAAGGAAATAGTAGTTTATATCATTCTAATAATAATTTATGCATGACAATAACTAGTGCTTTAAACATATTATTACGCAAACTGCCAAATATCAATAAAAAATTAATAATAAATACTAAATTGGGAATTAAATTTGTGTCAAGTTCTTGTTATCACGAAAAAACTTATTACTTACATATAAGATTTTATGCCCTTGCCAAATATTGTATTAGAGAACACAATTAGGTTAAACTCATGAACCATAAGTGCCCTATAGGTATTATTGTGAATAGGCTATGATTTTTTGTGGCTAAAATTAATAACAGGTTTGTTTATTAATTTCATGTCTTGTAGTTATTTTAGTGTGTTTGACCAATTATTATTTCGAGATGCAAGATCTAATAGGTTGATTACATACTTATAAAATAAGTAACGAGCAATATAATAGGTGCCTCAGATCTTTCGCCAACAATGTTTGGCCATAGATAAAATTATTCCTTATGACCATACAATGTGAAACTTATGGTAACCACAGATAATCACAATGTTCCTAATTGATACAGACCCTATAATTATTAATACTATAATAATTATCTATTTATTATTCTGTATAAATATTTAGACATCCATATTATGTACATATAGGTTTGTTGCTAAGTTATGACGTATTATGTGTAAGATGTGATAGCTTTATTTAGAAGCAAGTTTATTTAAATAAATTAAAGTTTATGTATCTTTTTGTTTTATTTTGCAACTTTTTTGCTTGTTAGATTACACTTGCATGTGATACAATTAGATTATAGAGCTATATGGAAATTATAGATTGTTGTCTGTCATAGGCATAGATTTCTCTATGCGGAGGTTTGCCGGTATTTCCATATAGTAATGACAGATAAATTATAAAGATTTAGTCACCTCATATTAAATTGGCTGATACTATAATCATTTTAAAATATGCTAGATTGCCAGCTCATATAGATCATTTATTTGCGAAATAATATATAACGATTAAATATATTTTCTACAACTTTTTTCGTATGTTAATATTACTAAAATTGATCATGCCATGGCCAGGCCCTTAAATTATTTCTTAAAAAGTTTAATTTTCAGGTACCTCAGCAAAAGGAAACAATGTCAGAATAAAATAATCGTTATTTCTTCAATAATATAATATTAGGTAACTTTGTATAATATTGCTTAAAAATCATTTTAAATTTCAGCCCAGCTGGCAAGGCCATAGTCTACCGCCCAACACCAATATGTTACCGCTTAGTGAAAGTCCGATTCTGGAACTTACTGAACAAATGGAGTCAATATAAAGTATAATTTTGTTGACTTAACTCTGCAGTTTTCTATTAGCAATCGCTATTTAGGAGTGGACAAAGACAATATGCTAAGACAAGCTATATTAACGATTTTCTGTTGTCTATTTATACAAGTTCATTGGCAAATAACCTCAAGCGAACCTTTTACTCACTATACAAAAGCTACATACCAAGTCTAAGGCTAATATTCAGACGGGCCTTAGTGTGTTATCAATACAATATCCATTTTTTTCTGAATTCTTACTCTTAGCGTTAGGTCTACAGATACTCTTTAAGAGTTTAGTGAAGTACGAACCATCTCTCATTCGTCCTAAGACCTAAGACAAAAAAAAAAATTCTTAGCGCCCCTGAATCTTACCCTTAGTCACGACTCTGCCTCTTATCATAAATGTTGTGTTAAATCTATGCAGTTCGCGATCATACTCCTAGGTGGCGTTGTATACAGAAACTTTTCCTATTTTAACGACCATTTAAATAAGTTTTAATTAAGGACGTTCTTTAAAATGTGATTCAATACATTCCGTTACATTAGTATTACTGTTTGTTACATATTTAGAAAAAATATACCGTTACACTTAAGACACTAAATAAGTAGAATTATAATCATCACAATAATGTGTAAACATAACATGGCACGAAATTAAAAAAACATAGCATTTCCCATAGAAGGGCATCGGTTAGGTATAAAACAATGAGACAATATTATAAATTAGTATTAATAATAATAATCACGTATTAATTCGTTTGTAAACATTTTAAGTAAATATTTGTGGTGGCTGTTTGATATTGCAAATTTCAGGCGAAGATGGCCCAAATATTATAGTGATATTTCATCAGTTACCACAATTTTGTTATCTATGCGATACCTTGTAAATAATAATCTACCTCCTAATGTTATAACCGTTAGTTTTAGGCAACAAGACTGAATTCTGTGTCAATTCAGAATGCTACGCGTCTTTCTATCATCTAAAAAACAAACGGGGTAAAAAATTAAAGTTGGCAACACTGTTAGATTTTCCAACGAATTGGCTTATGAAAACTACTAAGGCTTATTTTCCTTGTTAGATCATGTTTCTGTGATATTGTAATATACACAACGTTGTATTTGCTTAAAAAGTTTTTGTTTACACAATATACGTATGTATACAAAGGGACCGATAACTGTCAAAGCTTAACAGTGTTGCCATCATAACTGAGCTTGTTTTTATCCCCATTAATGTTCTAATGAAAAGCTATTAACAAGGGTAAATAAAACGAAACAAGTTACATCGATTATTAAAAAAATAACCACGAAACCAATCATTCCTTACAACAAAATGGAATAAAATCAAAAGTAATTTGCTAATTTACTTCAAAGATGATGCTAATTAATAATGTAGCCGTGTGATGTTAAAGTTCTGTAGTTCTTTTGTAGTTTCAAAATAATATAGACATATCAAAGTATCTTAGGTCATAACTGGGTAAAAATTTGACCTGGCTTCAAAAGTAACCGAGTAATAGTAGCAGCGTTAAGCAAAATGGCGGTTCCTTAGTACTTTAAATTAAAAAAGACACGAACGCAGTACTCAGATTAGTTCATTAAAAATAAAATTATCTTGCAATAGAAACAATGACAGCTAATCTGCTCTCACTGCCCTATGCTAACCAGAACCACTCATCAACTCATCAGGCATGTACTTTCGAAGGTGAGCACCGTTCTTTAGTTATATAGAGATAATTTTATGGATGACTCAGAGTACGGCCAGTTGATTTAATTCCTAAATGCAATGTCTCGTGACCTTCATTGTAACATTTACAAAAAAAATGTCAGCTTAAATTTGAATAAAAGCAGTTTTGTACATACAGCAGTCCTTTCGGATTAACAGGCGTATTTTACTAGTAAAAATAACAACAAGACGTCCTATACATTGAAATATCTAAAATACATAAATTCGATTAAACATTTTATTCATATGAACCGTATTACGAATTCAGGTGATTTCAGACAAAATGATTCTTATAATAAACGAAGCTTTATCAAACCATAACAATAACTTACATACGTAAGTATTTAAGCGTGTATCTTTTTTAGCAAACGTAGTGTAGGTGTTTGGAAGCTTTTACACAATTAGACAAATATTGCCATTGTATTATAATCCGTCATTCAGCATATTAATAGTCAATTTTATAAAATAATCAATGTAGCATACCGAGTAGGTTTGTAACTGCTTGATCACCCATCTTATTCATACACTAAGCCTCAGTTATTGTATGTTTTGTCCCTATCACTCTCGTGTCACTTTGCATAAGAAACGTGACAAAACATTTGGCTTATGTTTATGAATAAGACTGCCGGACTTCGTTAAGAAATCTTTTGTAATCATTTGTTTATAGATATTTAAAGTTTAAACACTAGCCAATCGTCACGTAAGCAATAATAAGATAAGGTTTTGGCATTAGTTTTGAAATTTGTCTGCATTTTGGGTGTATTTTTTGTGCTATTTTGGTTGTGATACGAAAGTTTGTTTTTAGACCGGCATAATACATTTAACTGATTTACATTACTTTGTTTTATTTAACTACTAGATGACCTGGCGAACTTTGTACCACCTATCAGTCAATTAATGTTGTTTTTGTTGCTCATCATAATTTGTATTGACGGTCCAGCCGTTTTCGGGTTCTGTTTAAAAATATCCAAATAATGCGACTAAAAATCATTTATATTAGATATTTAAAACAAAAAAAAACTTATATTAAAAAAATTACTTTTAATGAGAAGACATTGTCCACTCCAATCTTCGTTACTTAAAGCCCAATACAAAACTGTTAAAATAAACCCAGGTAAAATCTACTTCAAGAAATAACTGAAGTTTTAAACTAATTAAACGAGATAGTAGTAGGTAGAGGCTACAATATTTATGTCACTTGTTCACAATGCGTATAAGTAATAAAATTATATAGATCAAATATTAAAAACAATAAGCTGATATCTGGAAAAGAGATTAAATAATAACCTATAATTTATCAGTCAACAGAGATAACATTTCATTAGTTTGTGTTCGACGGCATAAATGATAGCAGCCGACTAAAGGTAATTTTAAATCTAAACTCTAATTAAATCTAATCTAAACTAAACTTTGGATGTTTTTTGTCAACTAAATTGTACGAAATTTATAAGACAATTAAATACAATTTCGTTGTTTTTAACAGTATTGTAATAATATTGAAACATTCGCTTACTCGATTTTATCTATGGGTTTCAGATGGCGCGAAAAATAACAGACTTACTTAACAATATTGATAAGTTTTCCTATTCCTTTGAAGTAACTCCAAACGTGACAGAAGAAGAATTAAACAATATTAAATTAGAACCAGCCTTTTATGCTATAACATGGCATGCCAAATTGTACGATTTTAATAATTTAGATATCCAACCACTTAAATTAGCTGAGACTTTAGCTAGTAAAAATAAAAATGTTCTACTCAACTTATCGTGTCATAAATTGAGGAAAGAATATTTATATAGAGTGCTAGATTTTCTAAAATCTAAAGGAATTTGTAATTTATTCATCGTGCAAGGAGGTATGTATAATTTCAATTATTTATGCTGAGTAGGTATCTAAGGCTTACCTACTTCCTTTAAAGTCGAGACTAATAATGGGTGTCGTATATCAAAAACGTATTGATTTGTAGTTCCATATATCTTACATTAAGAATGGAACTTATTATATAGACCTGGTGGCTGGTTAGGTGAAAGAAAACATCGTGAGGAAACCACTAGGTACCTCTAAGATCATAAAGCAACAGCGGCCGTCAGGCAAAAAAGGGTAGGAATATTTAAAAAATTGCATGTACCGCATTTTATTATTAAATTGAACACACAAGACAAATGCATTAATACCATTGTACGAATTTTATGATGTATCCTGAACGATGTTCATTTTTTTCAGAGGGTTACAACGAAAACTTATCTGATTTCAAGTCTACGTCGGATTTAGTCGCATCTATACGAGATCATACAGGAAATTATTTCTCTATTGGTGTGGCTGGGCATTGCGAGAAATTGGTCAGCATAGAAAGCCTAAAAGAAAAAATTAGCAGGGGCGCAGATTTTATTATAACTCAGGCTTTTTTTGACCCTAATGTTTTCAAATTATTTATTGTTAATTGCAAAGAAGCTGGAATTACAACGCCTATAATTCCAGGTGTATTTCCATTCGATAACCAAGACGAAGTTGAGAAATTTATAAGTTTGTGTAAAATTAATATTGATGCAAAAATAATGGATGATATAAAAAATCTACCAAGCGAAGAAGTTGTCCAGAATTTAGTAAATCTGATTTACAAGGAAACACATGTGAAGCATTTCCATTTCTTTACAATGAATAAATTTGAGAAGACGTCAAAAATTATCAAGGGCCTTATTACCTTTATAAAGAAATTACGAGACATTATTTTTTAATTAATTAAAATAAGCCAGATAAATTGTTTCATTTGCCATGAGCAGAATAAATTTTTAATTTACTGACCTCACATTGACTGACCTGAACATTTGGAGGCGTTGAATTTTAAATATAGAGTAGGTAGTTATGTTTTAGTGGAACTAATGGAACATATCAATAGGCAATAGTTTACTGAAAAATATATCCTAACTGCTACAAAAATATACTAAATTGTATCAAAGTCGAATGAAGAGCTATTTATCATGCACCAGGAATCCTTCGGCAATATCAAAATTACATCTTGGTATCTTTCGCCAATCTCAATAATGTGTATTATCTATAACTTAACTTGACAGGCACTGTCGGTATTTTTTATGTCATTTCGTTCCATTATCATGTATTATGCGTATGGTGTTTATAATTTTATTTAAATATTATTAAGACATTCTATGTAGTTTTTTTCAAAACATGCTAGTTATACAAAAATGTACTTACGTGTACATATTTGGTAATATTCTACATGTACATTTATTTATTGTGTCATAATTTAGGACACAGTAGGCTAGAGCGTCAAATGTCAACTGACAATTCTAAACTGTAACAATTAATCTGTGCTATAAATTTTAGGTTATGTTTAAATTTAAATACCGTAATTTTACCTCTACTTGATGAGAGTTGTATAGAGATTAGAGATTAAGTATTAAGTTGTATCTCATATTTCGTGAGGTGTTAGTTTGTAGATGAAATAAATGCTATATGAATATAATTTCTTGAAAATCCTCGCTAACACCCTTTTATTAAATCAAAATACGAATTGTTGACAACATCTCAAAGTGAGTATAAAAATCAAATGTTTCAGTTAAAAAATTTAAAAGCGATTACATTAGATTAAAAGAGCTGAACGACGGACAGGGATCCTAGTCCTTCATCCTTTTAACTACCATATTCCTGATTTTAGGTTTAAGAAATTATGTCTTTCCCTGATAAACATCAAAGAAAAACATGTTGGGATGCTAGAGACAAATTCTGGCAATGCTTAGATGAACATAACATTAAAGATAATTCTGAACATCCTAAAGCCTGTGCTGAATTTAGGAAACTGTTTGAAAACTCTTGTCCTCCAAAATGGGTCTCACATTTTGATAGGAAGCGAGATTACAATATATTCAAAGTTCAAATGCAGAAAGAGGGATTTGAACCTATTAAAGATGCTGCTTAGTTGTTGCTATTTGTAAATTCAAATTGTAAATATAGTTATGTAGTAAATTATTTATATTACGACTTTTATTTTACATAAATCCTTTATTTTCCAAGTAACATAGTTAAGGTAAATATATATTTTTTTATAAAATACTATATGGCTATGCTGTATTAAGTATTTATCAATCTTACTTTTACAGGCCACATTTAATGAAAAGATGGATATGGAAGAAAATGTTTTATTGAAATTATCTGTACCAACATATGAAATTACAACTTTAATATTACAGGTAAAACTAGCTTATCATTTATCATCGTCATTTAATTAATGTATTATCTTACAGTACAGTAATGTATGAGTAACTCTCTACCACAAAATCTACTGCTAAAAGCTATTTAGTTACTACTTAAGTTAGGATAAATAATGATCTAAACATTTGATGACTTTATATTTATTGTAGTTATTAAAGAGATTAGGTGGCTAATACAGAGATTTTATATCGACAGGATTGGTTGAAGGACCAGACAAAGAAAGTAAAATTTTCTTAAAACTTTAATATAATCCACTGAAGACAACTTCAAATTTGACATGATCCTCATGTTTATTAAAAACTTATGCTTTCAGGAGGTTTTATCTTCATCCAAAAAAGTACATGGTAAAGAAAAATTAACAGAAAAAATATTAGAAAAATTATGGGAACACATACTGACAAAGTTGTTCGAATTTGATGATCAACTACTATGTTCTACATGTTTTTATACTTTATTAACACATTCTGAGACTCAGGATATCCATTTACATAATATATTAAATATCATTAACAATGCTTTAGAAGAATTTGACAAGGACAAAGCTTTCTATGCAATGACACTAATGTATGGTCTCTTTCAATCATCTTATCTTACACAGAAAAATAAACAACAAACTCAACTGATGGAAATAGTATTGGACGCAACATTTAAGCTGCTTATGCAAGAGGCATATAAATATTCTCAATACACATTCATAACATTTAAAATTATATCAGCATTCAAAAAAGTAATTGATACAAATTTCCAATCCAGTATCTTCAATAGGAACAATCAAATAACATTATTGAATGTAGTAAATCATAATTGGGAAAATCCAATTACTGGTGTAAGAAATTTGATTAGAAATATATTTCAAACACTTGTTTCCATACTAGATAAAGATATTTACCACACCATTTTGAAAGAGATTAATGGCTTTTACTGGAATAAAGCTAAGTTTCTGATGTTAACAGAAGTTATTGAACAATCACTGAGTCCAATTTATGCATTACTTAATAATAATGGATGGTTACATGGTCTAATCTACAGTTTGCATAAACCTGGCCTTGTTTCTTGTGGATCTGATATGTATTTTGCTGTCCTTAAAAAAGTAAAATCTGATGATGAGTGGTGTGAAATATTTTTAAAAGATTTACGCATTATATTTAATGGCACATCATATAAGGCAATAGAGAACTTTTATAACTACTGGTGCTTGATAACATTAAAGAAATTCCCTATGCTTTTAGATAAACTTTTATTTGCTATTTCAAAGGAGAAAACAGAATCAAGTCTTTTAAGTGCTTTAAGTGTTATGAAGCAGGGTAATAAACTAGCATTGCTCAAGAAAAGTTTGGATACAGAGAAAATTATTGAACTGGGCCTTGGTTATAATAATCCACTAATACGTATTAAAGCCTTTGATATTATTTGCGTTTGTCATGGCAAATGTTTGCCAGATAGACTAAAATATAACATGATACTTGAGTTTTTATACAATAATATAAACTCTGATTGCACTGTTCTAAGAATTAACATGATAAATAGCTTCAGCAGTTTTTTAACACATCTACATGGTGCATTCTTAATAAATCAGGATATTGAAGAACTTAAACATTTCTTTTTAAATTTGCAAAACCTTCTCAAAGCTTCAATTAATTTTAATGGCAACTATCAGAGAAAAATTACATCAATTAAACTAATTGATGTTATATTGAAACATTTGAATGCTGTCCCTAAAAAGTCATCGAAACGAAGACCACAAACATTAATAGAAATACTTAAAAATGAAAGTATGTGGAACCTATCAAGCAAAGATTTTATTCTGAAATTACTAAGCTTGCTTAAGGATCCCGCTGATGATATAAGGCAATCTGTTCTACAAGTATTATTGAATTACTATTCTAATGACCTTAAGTGTCAGTTAATGTTTAATTATATGACTGAAGATGTAATAAAATGCACAGAGAGCAAATTCTTTTTTGATATTGATTGTGGAAAAATTATATTTAAGTTATTAATTAGTATTTTACTAAAAGAAAATATAGATGGAAGTGCCAGAAGTGTGCAACAGTATTTTGAACACTGGTATAATGAGCTGACAAATGAAATACATCTTAAGAGGAATGTAGTAGATTCTATACACAATGGAAAGCAACTTCATTCAATACTAGGATTGTTATTTGTTATTATTGAAAGTTGCTTACAGTATAAGTATAAGCTTGATTTACCAAATACAACAATTTTGAAATTTGTTGATGTTTTGGAAGAAATTTCAAATCAGTTTATGAGTGAAGAGAGTAGTGCAGTTAGTTATGACTTTTCGAGAATGAATGAGTTGGTTGAAACTTTAATAGAAAAATCAAATACAAATATCAAGAATAATGATGAAACAAAAATATCTGGTTTACACCAAGTTGTGCTGAATTGTCTTTGGTTGAATGTGAAGGTAAGTAAAAGTAAATCTTATTTAAATAAATAAAAACGAATCGCTGAAATGTACCTGCAGAATTCCGGATGTATTTTACCAAATACAGTTTTTTTTAATTCGCCAGGTGGAATAAAAAAGCAAACACAATTTTGTAATATATATGAAAAGTGAGGCAGTGAATGTGTAACCGCAGGGGTTCCGCAAGGATGGGTAGATTTTGTTTATTTTTTTGAAATAATTTTGGATATGGTTGAGAGTTTAACCTCGAAGAAACTAATAATTTTTCATATGTACGATAATTTGTTTCAGATGTCAAGTGATATATCTGCTTTATTAATTATGTATGTGGAAGATGAAAATATCTGCAATAAATGTTTAAACGTAATAGTGCATGTTCTTGAAACGTGCAGACATAAAGGTGCAATAGAAGCAGCGGGATCTGCGTTAGGTAATTTAATAATATTTTATATAAAAAATATGTATGTGGATATAAAGATGTATATATTATGTATAGAACATAACTTTTTTTTATTATATTTACCAAGCACACGAAGTCAAGGTCCAGCCAATAGATGGTGCTTTTAACAATATAAATGTTTTTGGTACTTTATAAATCTGGTGTTTCTTATATATTATATAATTGGTCCAGAGTTTAATTCCCCGCTAAACTTGTTTAGGTTTGGAACGTGAATCAAATGATTTAATTGATTTTTGATGACATGTACATACATGTCTAAATAAATTTCTTAGTAATGCTGTAAATTAAAAATAAACGGCAATGAAGCAGACGACCAAAAACGATATAACTTATTTGGCATGTCTCATTATTGGAATGTTTTTAAATAATTTTGGTTAAAAAAAGATATTTCTTTTCAGGAAAGAGCATTCAGCACTTAACTTCACTGCCAGTTAGTTCTAATTTATCGAAATTACCATTGATATTGTTAGAGAGAAAACTAAAGGAATTATTACTGGAAGCCAAAATGGCGTCTGTTACTCGAAGGGGTGCTGGATTGTCTATCATGGTACATAGGATTGTTTCCAGCGATATGAAGAAAGGAAAGGTAGCTTCGTTTTTATTAAATACCTTAAATATTGTTGAGAAATTTGTAACGGTTGGTGATATTTGATTACTTTATAATCGTCTTTTCCGCAATATCTTTTACCAGTATGATTAAGGGAAATAAGTATGAGTGTGTTTATACCTATATCATGAGGATTTTCAAATATAATTATAAAATATCGCATAGATAATATAATAGAATAATATTCGAACTGTTTTATTAAAAACAAAATATTTTATACTCCATTTTTTACAGCCTTTATTTCACTACTTCATGAATATCTTGCTAGAAGCTTGTAAGGATTTGGACGGTATAAACGATTGTAATCCTGAAAAAGATTTGCCCAAAGCCATCCACATACACTTCTTAACTCGAATCGTGATGGACAGTAGTCTCGCTTCAGAAATGATGTTTTATTCAGCAAAATTAGCAGAACTTGCATTCAATAACTTAAGGAGTTCACACTGGCAAATTAGGTTTGTTTTTTTTTAAATATTTATTTTTATTTATAATTTTCAGCCAAAGTCATCAAGTATTGCTGCAGTATTATGAAACATTTTTATTACTATTAATTAGTAGCAAATTTTACAGTAATGCAAGAAACGCGCGCCAAGTGATGGATAAATAGGTGAATTACATTTCAAACTAAAATCATGGAACGTACCAATATATTATATATATACCAAAAATACTTTGTGTACAAAACAAGTTTGTTAAATCCAGCTATAATAGGTTGAACTAATGACTTTACAAAATCATTCGGAATGTTAATGTGGTGACTGAGGTGTTCAAAACACCAAGCTGTGCTTAAAATAAAATTTCACTCAGTTAAGTTAGTATTAGTAATAGTAATAAGTCATATCCAATATTATGTCGTAGTGACAATAATAGTTGCTTTACACTGGTTTGCAAATAACACATTTTTCCTTCATTCCAGAAACGCCGCTCTGCAACTATATGGGGCACTTATCCCTAAATTAATAGGGCAGAAAAAGGCTTCTGGTCTTGATGAAGAAACTGTATCCACCGTTGCATGTGATGAATTTAGAACTCATTCACCAAAATTATGGGATTTTATTGAAAATCAATTGGAAAATACTGACGATAATTTATTAAGCCATTCAGATTTGGTTCCAATTTTAAATATACTAGCTAGTGTTGCTAGAAGTTATAACTTTTCATACAAATTGAAGGAAATTTTAAAAATTCAGAATTTCAAATTGTTGCTTGGTAGTCAAATATACACTGTAAGGCGATTGGCTTCCAATTGCATTTTAAATATTTATTCATGTCAAGATATTTACACATTTTTGATGAGTTACGATAAAATTTCCGAAAACTCTTTACATGGGACTATGTTCCTACTGGAAGGTTTTTTAAAACTATTCAAATCTGAATTATCAGATGAAAAATTTTGTGAATTAAAAGAAAAGTATAGTTGCCTTTTCCGAGGACGCTGTTCCTATTTAAGTCGGACTATATTTGATAAAATGTTTTTCGATGAAGTTCCAAATATATGTAAAATTAGTTGTGAAGCAAGAAAGAATAAATATTTGCCTGGGGTATATCTATGGGCAAACAATAGAGTTCATATGTTTATAAGAACTGCAACATGGAATGAAATAGCTGATAATATACACATTTTATTAACTTTTGATGATTTTGAACAACACAGTGAACATCTTTATACGAAAATTGATGAAGATGAAAATATTCCTAAGGTGTTGATAAATATTGCAAATAAAATTATATCATCGGGAATTGGCAAAAATTGCTATGGGGTTTGGAAATTTATATACAAACTATCCAAAACACTTACACACAATCATTTAATGGCTCTTGAGTGTACTCATATTGTAAAGGAGCTGTTAACTGGGACAGAGTCTTTATATAAAATCCGCTATTTAATTCCTTTTGCAGCAAAAATTCTATCAAATTCTCAAAATAATGTCATATCAAAAGTTATTTATGATTTTTGTGATCCTATCAAAAATGAAACTGACATGAGACATATAGCTGCATTAGCTAACAATGAGCTTGCAGAGAAATTTATTTATTTAACAGATGAAGTTAAAATTAATTCCATAAAATCTGCAATTATTTTACTACAAGACGAAGATGAAGACATCAGAAACACAAGTACAGCTTTTTACAAAAATATAAAAAAAGAGCATTATCATGCCTTTATTTGTCTAATTAAAATACTAAGTAAAGAATTTATGGATTCAGTCTTAAATGCACCAAAACAAGGTGTTAATCTTATTTTTTCAGATTTGAATAATATTATTGAGTTAATTATAGAGAAAGATATAGAGAATTATAATCCTTTTGCTAATGATTCAAAAAACATATATTTAGAGGAAAATTTTATAAAAACTTTGTTACATAATCTATGTAAAAAATATGAATAAAAATTCCATCTTCTATTACGAGTATGTATTTGAATCATAAATGAACTTTGTGATCATAGAAAAATATTTATAAAAACATGTATGAAAACATTGTTATGGTGACTGCTCTACAGAATAGATTATTATATATTTTTTGCATTGTATAAAGGCCATGTTTACAAAATGTAAAATGTTTGTTTAAGATTATTTAGTACAGATTAATGTGGTAAAAATGGAACTGGGACCAGAATTAAAATAGTATCTACCACTTTCTAAACAAAAATTTAGTTCCTAGCTAATTACTAAGTAAAATTACTCATCATAATAATATTTCTGTGGTGGTGTTGTATCATCAATTTGTATAGACACAATATGTCGTCCTGGAACCATAACTAGTCCTAATACTCGAGGTTCTTGTGGCTCTCCATCGCTGTTTTTAGAATATTCTGAACAGGCACCTTTAAAAGAATAATTTAAATTATTTTTTTAGCTTTCTTAATAATTATGCTTATTTACAGTACTTTCAATAAAAAGCAATATAATATTTGACTATAAAAGTACTCTACTTGTTCGACAAAACTTTATATAGGTCTGCATAGACGTGCAGGCATTCAAAAAGTGGAAACAATTAAAAAATATCAGAAATAAAATAGCATATTGTAAAAAAAATAATAATCTCAAAACATTACAAAAAAGTAAATAAGGTTACCTAAAATCACATTAGCATCTCTATCTGTACACAAAAATACACCTATAAGAACTCTTCCATCAGTCATTTCTATTCTAAAATTCATGTTGAGCCATTTTCGTAACTTTGCTTTACCATCTAACTCTTCTACCTGAAAAAATTAAAATGTAATTTATATAAAAATTAAAGATTCATTTCAAGTGCTTTTAGGATATGATATATTTGCAAAGCTGAAAACAAAACCCCTCTACTTTTTTGTAATTAATTTTTTGCAGTCATAATTAAATTTACACGATGCATGTGTTTTTGTTTCGTAGAATTTTAGCGACAATAAATCAAAATTTGAAACAAAGTACCTTAGGATCTTCAACTTCTTGACCAGACTTCATATTTCATTCAAATTGTTATTTCCTTCCTCTGGTAAATGAAAGAAATTTACAACAGTTATACTTTTTTATTGATAAAAAAGTAGTTATCAATAATTAAAACCTATATTTCAATGAAATAAATAGTATTTTACTTTAAACAGTATGAAAAATTATGAACACACAGCTGTTCTGTATAATCATAAACAAAAAAACTAACGTCAAATAGACAGATTTCGACCAAAGATTTATTGTTGTCTGTTTTGTAAAATGTAAGTTGCCATTAGCTGATAGCTCGTACTTCGTAGCTGTCGTTTGACTTTTCTCAAATTCTTTGTCAATGTCTGAAAAATCTAGGGTCTGGCTGAATTCTGAAAGGTCAGAGGTGTTTTTTTGGCCAATTTCTATTGTAAATATACTCAATACTGTGTTGTAAGCATTTTTAATGGTACCTATAAATTAGATAATTGTACTTTAAGTACATTACACGATATTATGTTATTATATGGATATTGTTTATACTGAGTACTGACGTTATGAATGAAATGAATGTATTCACCTTATCGTGTGTTAAAGTGTCCGAATAGTCATTTGGTCTGATTGATCAGATAAAAATGAAGCGTTCTATGGATAGTGAAGATTGCTTTATGAAAAAATTCAAGTACTATAAATCTAACAAACCAAAGCCCTCATTAGAGGAGGTCATATCTTTAGAAACCTATAAATTTGCTAAAGAGGTAAGTTCTCACCATTAATTTCCTTTAAAAAACATGCAGCGTGTCATTTATAATAGAATGCGTATGCATTACAGGTCGAAAACATAACCTTTACTGTAAGACATGATTCAAGAACGAGAGCTCTAGGTTTACATGACATTTCTAATTGGAAAGCAGTTTCGTTAAGCAGACACCCTGGTTTTATTATTATTAAAAATCCATTTACTAGTTTAGGACAAAGGTACTGGATAAGAAAATGTTTGGAAGAATATGCTAAAAAGCCCAATAAAAGGAACATTGACATAGACACTGATGTAGATAATTGGTGGGAAGAGTGCTTTAAGAACAAAGAAGTAGATAGGAAGCTACAGAAGAAACTGAGATGGGCAACTTTAGGATATCATCATGATTGGGACACAAAAGTAAAATGGTTATATTTCTTTTTAACACATTTCATAAGAAGAACTTTAAGATCTCTTGTGTAACTGATATTTGTTTCAAGCAATTTAGTAGTCATTAAACACTATAGTAATATTTAACATGTGTATATATTACAATATACTTTTTTCCTATATATATCTAAATGTAAATTAAATTAATTTCTCATATTCTTTATAAAAAAAAACATTATAATCTATCTAATTCCAGGTCTACATTGAAGATAACAAAGGTGTATTCCCAGCAGAATTAGCTGAGTTATGTGATGTTATAGCCCTCAGTCTTGGCTACAGTAAATTCAGAGCTGAAGCAGCAATTGTAAATTATTACCACATGGGATCTACATTATCTGCTCATACAGATCACTCTGAAGTGAATTTGGAGGCACCATTATTTTCATTAAGGTAAGGATTTCCTAATTTGAATTTTCATCTTAGCTAGCCTTGTAGTTATAATAATAATAGTTTATTTAAGCTGACAATCATAAGTCCATTTTATTATTGTGTTATGCATGTTTCTAAAACATAAAAGCTATACACAAATCCCCTTATAATAAAACTTTAGGCTTCTAATAGCAATTGAATGTTATGTTCTCATAGTCTTGACACTCTTTGAATAATATATTTTAAAGTATATTGATGAACATGCAGTTTGTACCCCAAAAATACCCTACCTCATCAAAATTGAACAAAGGAGAGAACCATGCGAGAATCCAAATTATTACTTCATATTGCATTTATTGTTCAATAGTTTTTTTAAAGCAAATGAAAATATACAAGCATTAATGCCCTTGGTTTGTAGTCCAGAAAATAAATTCAGAGATAATTTTTTCTTAATACACACTTAATGTATAATCTATATCTTATTATGCCAGTAATTGAATTTTATATCGAAAATTTTTATTCATTTGACCAATACAGTCTGCCACTGCTCATTCTGATTTATGATAAAAGTACGGTATATACAAAAAATAGTTAAAAACTATGTTTGTTCTTTATTTTAATAGACGAAAATATATTTTTTAAAACTCCGTCACTTTATCTAATTACGATTTATTTCAGTTTTGGTCAATCTGCAATATTTTTACTCGGTGGACATGAAAAGTCAATAGAACCCTCTGCCATTTTACTGTCTAGTGGTGATATAGCTATCATGTCCAAAGATGCACGTCTATGCTACCATGCTGTACCAAAAATATTACCCAGCTCAAAACAACCGTGGAATGATCCTACTTCAGTTGAAAAAACTGATGAAAATTTTAAATACATAAAGGAAGATGAAATAATTGATTCAATGAATAGAAATTTGAAAGAATGGACAAAGTTCCAGGCATATGTTGAAGAGTCAAGAATTAATGTTAATGTGCGACAAGTACTAAATGAAAATCAAAAATGTTTATAACAGCTATTTTTTAAATATATTTTGTTGTGTTTTAGAATGGTAGTTGTCTTTTTGGTTGTTTGGTTATCACTGAAACAAAACAGTTTTATTTAATAATATATAACTAAAACTAATACTATAAGGAATTTCGATCTTACGATGCCTCGACTTTTTTTATCGGGTAATTCAGACCACTTTCTGATTGATTATTATTCTTATAAGGCAAGTTAGAGGCTTTTCTCAACCACAATCAATTTTTGTTTAGCCGGGATCAAATCTGCAGGCTTAAACACTAAACCACAGAGGCCGTTAAAATTATGACACCAATTACACCACTTTAACACATTATGGGACCTCGATGTCACTAATTTGATTTTGATAATTTTATTTGATTTCGCATTTATTTCGGTAAGAAAAATATTAATTCAATGTGCTTTTGTGATTGAATCATGGCGGTATACTTTATTTGGCACCAGAATATTTTCAATATATTCGACATGGTGGCGTATATTTTTTTTAAGTTATAGCAGACAAGCCTAGTTATTTTCTTTTACTTAATAAATAAAAAAACAACCTTTCTCTGTTTTTTTAGAGACAAATTCACTTTCATTTCTCTGATGGTCACACAGTCCCCAGAAACATTTAATATAACTTTCCGAATAGCATTCGAAGTCGTCTTTAACTTTGAAGTTTGCTAACCGCCTGGCAGTTGGTCTGTAACAGTAACCACACTGTAGATTTAATTTTTGCAACATTTTCAAACTTTTAACTAAAATTTATTCAAAACATCTCGAAATGTTTGATTATCAAAATGACAATTTTGACGTTCTTTTTGTATTTCTTTAAAAAGTATTATTCGGTGGTACATGACTTGGGACATTTTAAGTAACAATTGTCTTTGATATTTTTGTAACGATTGAATAAAGAATATTCTATGCGTTGCTTGAAAAAATTTAGTTCGTCAAGTCAAGTCAAAATCATTTAGTCAAATAGTTACCTATTTGACTAAATGAGTGTACACTTATGAACGTCAAAAAATTTATATATATTAAATGCTTCTAATTTACATTGACTGCCAGTTCTCAAATGAAGGTCGTAATATTTAATAATAATTTAAATAATTGTTTTTTGATCTTATAAATACATATCTTATCGTTAAACCTTGCATAGCTATAAGATATAGCAAGCAAGTGGCTCGTTTTAATATTAGTATAATAAATAATGTAAGAAATGGGTGATGTTTTTAGACAAAAAAAAAAAAAACGTGACTTAACGGGTCTCCGGTATATTAAGACTTAGGTGTAAGTCTCGTTTCTGGATATCACCCTAAGGGTCCCCGTGATTACTTATGCAAAGGCCCAGCAAAATGCCTCGAGTTCCGACCACAACTACCTGATTAGAAATTCAAGCAATTCAATATGCCTTATATTGATCCAGACGTGAAAGCATCAATATTCCGACTAGTTCTTTGTATCGGTAGGTATTCAGCTTTGCGATCGTCGTTTAGCTGCGTCGCACGATAGCGAATCCCTTTTCAATTCGAGCCGAATGCCAGACGACAATGCCTCACGATTCCACCATTTGTTGAATGGAGTTTCAGTTTGAAATTATTAGGCACTTACATGTAAAGTTTTTACGAAGAATGCTTTTATTGAAAATAAGACTACACGCCTTAGTGACATATATAATAGACATGCATATTTAGTTATTCGTATTTTACAATATTTTTACTTATATCTATATATGTATAGCGTACAGTATGTAAAGGTATACGGCAAAGTCCCTCTATTACTAAGTGTTAGGTATAGCATTAGGCGATCTGCCTATGCAATTATATCATTAAAATCGCTATTGAAATTACTTACGTGATATCGAGTTGAAAATTTAAATATGGAATGTGTAGGACTTCCAATGGTTGCAGTAAAGAAAAGTTAAACTAAAAATGAGATTTAACGCCATACTATACTTATAAAGCGAATAAGCTAAAAAGTATCAGACAACCTCAAAAGCCCGCAATATCGCAAAGGAGGACAGATGCAACATTATTGACGAACAAAGTAGAAACCGAAATTAGAATAGTCTGTTTATGACACGACACAATAAAAGCTTGAGTTAACGGTCCCCACTAACAATAGTAGGCAAATTGAGTTAGGTAGACATTGTCGTAAACAAGCGATGCAATTTGCATGACTCTCGAACGATTAGATTCGAACAAGTATACTGTCATACGCAATCCCAGGCTCAATGGAGCCCGATCAGCTTAATGGGAAGTGACGGATTGAGAACACGCGTGTATCTGTGATAGATTGTTCAGTGATCTCTATATACACAGTACACACACAATATTTATTTATCGTTTAGTTGTTCCAAAGAACAAGTTTCGTTGGCAGCAATTGCTAAGTACACGCACTTATTGCTCAAAGGTCTTTCAGAGTTGCAGAGCAGCAAGTGTTTTTAAAAGGGGTTATTAAAATATAAAAAAGCTAACAGTAACATATCAGCAATTATATATAAACTCAGTTAAGAGAGTTTCTTGAACGAGTCTTGTAGCATTTCGAGGATGAATTGAATAAAAAATATTTTTCGTGTTCGTACGGAAAGTTAGTACTTTTTTAATGACGATAACATTTTCTCTCGCCATAAAATTTTAGTTAAAGTAGTACATTGTTTAATTTAAACGAACGAGTCGTGATGATCTATCCAATAGTTTCGGCACATCATCAAAATTGACAAAAGTAATAGTATATATTTTTTATGGGCACAAAGCAACATAACAACACTAGTCACTAACTTATGTAAAACATACATTTAAAAAACCGTTGTTAGAAGCAAAATTTTTTGACCGTTCATTATATAAAAAATATTAAGTATTAAGCACAGAGAAGATTCTAGAAATACTTTGTTTTACTCGTAGCCGTCGCTGCCCATATTCTACTTTAGGTAAGTAATATTTCGTGAAACCATTATGAACTTTGCCTTTGTATGTTAAATGGATTGTGAGTCAGCAAACTTCTTTTATTGACATTAAATAGCAGATATAAATTCCGTTGGCGGATTACAGAATTTATTGGCTTCAAAATTAAAGGCGGCCGATTTCAATGGCGAGCGTTGACAGCTTTCGTTTATGGAGTTAAAAAAGTTAAATGGCTCATTGAAAACTTATTTTTAACTTCTAGTTTTGATGAATGCGGTCATCGGGTTATAAAAAAATAGCATTTAAAATTACCTGCATCGATTACAGGGGCATTAAGAAGAATGTATATATTTATGCTGCCTCTCCATTATACGAATGTATCTATATAATGGAGAGGCAGCATCTAGTACCTAATGTAATAATATAACTCACACATTTAAACATTATATATAATGGATTTAACAATTTAAATAATGTAAAAAATCTGCGCTTCTATTCTTTAACAGGAAAATTGAGTTTACGAGTCACGAGGCATATTTTCCTTAACTCATATAATTCGGTAATTTTTTCCAATAGCTCGGACTGAGCACTACTATCTACAACTGAACCATTACCAGATTATAATCAACGAAATTATTGAAATATTTTACAAAATTATTTAAGTCTTAATCATTATTGTATTTATATTTTGGGTATTTATTACACATAACTCTGGTAATTTAAACTCGTAAATGCATCTAATATCACGGAAATAGCCCAGACTACCGAGGTGCAATAACGGTCGGCTTTGTTTACCACAAAGTCTCTACAAACAGGCTTGTTGGTTTCAAAGCGAAATTAATGTATGGCTTAGAATGTTGGTACCTGAGATCAATCAACTGTATCGCTGACGATTGGTGTAACTAATAGCTTTGTGGAGATTAATAATTAATGGTCGTGACAATTAGTGCTAATTAATGACAGTCTGAAATGTAATTTAATAAAACTGGCGTAAATACTATTAAAAGAAACATAGGTATATAAATCTTAAAACACATAATTGACCTGTTTCACGTCACGCACGCTTAAGCGTGTATATTCCTAGTTATACTTAATAATGTCAATATACAGTGGAATATCTATAACTCGAACCTCGTTAAGTCGAATAAAATGTCATCCCCTTCCGTCGAATCCCTAAATACGCGGTAACTCGAATTGTTTTGAATTTGTGACTCGAACAAAATGTTATTTCCCTACGAAGTATTGATAATACATATGTATACTCTTCAATTTGAATTTCGGTACGGAGACTCCGTAAGTCGTAGTTAGTAAAATATCTAATCAATTATTTTTGTCTTGTACTCGTGCAATTAATGAATGCATTCATTTTTTTATGTAGGTACAGTTTACTTCATTAATATGTAAAAATATATACCTACTACAAAACTTAAGTTGAATTGTTATTCAATCGAAAAATACTCATAGAAATCGCGCCTCTGTAAGTCGAAATTTCAACAGTTAGATCATACCTATGTATATCGAAGTTCTTGTTAAGTCGAAAACTCGTTAACTCGATTTTTTTGCGTTTCCCATGACATTCGAGTTATTATATTCATCACGCACGTCTTCACCAGCAGCATGTTTATTACAAGTTTTCTCTCTTATTTTATCCATAACATGTTTATATGAGTGCTCTTAAGTCACTGAATTTTTTTGTCGAAGATATAAATTAAATCGAGTGTTTTAATACAATGATAAAGCCGCGGCCGAATTTCATTTGCATTTCGACTTAGAAAAAGCTTATGCATTTTACGTAAAACTTAGTTCTAAAAATACTCGTTCAAGAAGTAAATAACGTTTCTTTGGTTACTTTTCGTAGAAAAACGATTAACTCCGGGTGGTGCAGTGGCCAACTGGCACATAATTCACTTAAACCTCGTTTATATTACTTAAAACTTTGAAATTGAATTTAACGAATGGATTACAAAATTACCAAGTATTATGCTATGTTTGCAATTTTCAACATTGGCCGGATATCAGCACTTTTAGCATATATATATATTTTTAAGTCAATGTTATATTATATGTTCATTTACTTAATAGAGATTATTCTTGAATTCGTTCCAAA